ATGTGTCATATATTTGTATTATATGTATATATCTTATAGTTATATTATGTGTATATATTATGTATGTATGGTATGTACATATATTTAAAATATATAGTTATATACATTTTTATATCCCTTGTTTTTATTTTTATTTTTTTTATAACACCACCGATTCCAGTTTCTTTCAATCCTCTCCATCCAAAGGTTGTCTGGAAGAAATCGCTTTTAGCGATAAGACCACCCATTGAATCACTATGTTTAAACATAATGTATTTACCCCATTTATGTACTATACTGTGGTGTTTTCAATAAAGAATTGTGTATTGTATTGTATTGTATGTTATCCGATTCTCAGACCTACTGAAAATGCATATAAAATTTCACTAAAATCGGTCGAGCCGTTTCGAAGGAGTTCAATTACGCACACCGTGACACGAGAAGTTTATGTATTAGATACAACGATATTAAATACCTAGATACACCAACACGAACAAAATCGGGCCCGGAACCTGTCCAAAAGGTACACTGGACGATCCACGGAGCTCCGTAGGATGATCGCGTAGTCAAAATCAATATTAGGCATTATTTAAATATTGAAAGTAACCTTTAATACATACTGTATAAGGTCTTAAATAAATCGCATGCGTCAAGGACTTCTGACAGTTCGCAATGCAAGCTCGTAAAATTTTAGGACTTATTGCTATATGCGGAAGAATTTAGACCTTAGTTCTTTGACTCTACGCGCAATTTTGAACGCGCTGTTAGCAATATAGTAGGCACGGACCGCGAGTAAAAGAGACGGCTATTAGGCGACGTATTACCGACCGTGCATTTGAATATCACAAATATTTTATATTAAATCAGTTTATAGTAAGTACGAGATCAAAAATTTATTTCAAATGCGTTAAATTAACAAATATTGACTAGACCCCTGTCGAAAAAATGACACTTTTCGTACTTTAAGTATTATTTTCGCATTTTTTCGCAGAGCTCCGTGGCATCTTGTCTTTGTAACGGTCCGCGCGTGACTGTAAACCAAGAAGTGCTTGAGTGGAGTTCAAGCACTTCTTGATTGGGACACATTTTGAGCGCTCGTGGTGCATCTAGGGCAGTGGTTCTCAAACTTTTTAAATGACGGAACCCTTTTGGGAAGCAAAATACTTGATGGAACCCTACAATAAAACAATTATTTTTATAAGTGTATTCTATATTAATCAGCATAATAAAAGTACAATGTATCCGTTACTAATTATTATTTACTTCACCACTTGGTAAGGACAATAATAGAAAACATTAAAAAAGAAAAAATCTAACTAGTGGGAGGTATGAAACTGTTTTTTATTTTTCATCAATTGCTTGATATCAGGTTTGATGGAAGAAAGTTGGAGTCTCATATCAGCTTCGGCGTCCAGTCTATTGCGATATTTTGTTTTCGTGGCTGCGTAGGTAGAGAATCCTGTTTCGCACAAATATGTAGTTGGGAACGGGAGAAGAATATCCAGAGCCATTTGGCCAAGCATTGCATATTCATCTTGGATTCTGCACCAAAAATCATTAAGAGGCGTCGTTTTGAACAATGACTCCATACTTGTGTCTGATGACATTTCTAAAAGAGATTCATATATCTCATTTGACATGTTTTCAGGCTTTTCCAAGTTGGGTAAAAAAGGATTATGAATCCAGGAGTTCACTTTAATTTTTGTATTGTGTTCTTCGGGAAAATACTTTTCAAAAGATGCGCGCATCGAACTGAGATATTGGACCAATTCTTCAAACACATTATCTTCAAACATTTCTGAGTCGTTTTCGCTAACAAACTCAGTGAGTAACGTAAAACTTTCTATTTCTTTCTTACCAATGCAAATGATCCAAAAATCTAATTTTCTTTTAAAAGTAGTTATTTTATTATAGGCCTGAAACACTGTTGTCTGTTTACCTTGCAATGATAAATTTAATTCGTTAAGTTTTTGAAAGATATCCGCCATAAAAGACAATCGGAACAACCAAGTTTTATCATACAAACGGTCCTTCAAATTAAAAGAAGTATCTGCTGAAAGAAACATTTGTAACTCGGCTCTAAGTTCAAATAGCCTTGTTAAAGTTTTTCCCCGAGACAGCCATCGCACTTCTGTATGGAGCAGCAGTGTTTTATGTTTGCTGCCATAATCTTCACACAATAATGAGAACAATCGGGATTGTAGTGGTCGTGATTTGATAAAATTAATTATTTTTACCGCTTCATCCATAACTAATTTTAGATTAGACGGCATTTGCTTCATCGCAAGTGCTTGTCTATGCAGAATACAATGACTGGAACTACAATTAGGCGCTTTATTTTTCATTCGTGACACTGCTCCTGCTGTTTTACCTGTCATCGCCTTGGCCCCATCTGTACAAATGTCAATGCAATTGTTCCAACTGAGATTATGTTCTTCAAAAAATATATTTATTTTATTAAAAATTTCTTCCCCGGTAGTGTTTGTAAGCAGCGATGAACACATAAGCATGTCTTCTTCAAAAGAACTTTTATATGGATATCTCACAATAACCAGCAGGATAGCCAAACCAGCGACATCAGTCGACTCGTCCATTTGCAAAGCGAATCGTGTATTTTGTAGACGTGTAACTAGTTCTTGTTTGACGTAGCTTGCCAGATCATGGATTCGTCGTGAAACAGTATCGTTTGATAGCGGAACAGTAGAAAGATGCTTTGCAGATTTTTCATCAAGCATACATTTTGTTATGTCTAATACACATGGTTTTATTAATTTCTCAGCGATAGTGTGCGCTTCACCTGCTTGTGCAATGCGATAGCTAACTAAGTATGATGCCTCCGTGGCCTTTTCGTTGGTAGTTTGTGTTACATGCATCATATTTTTTTGACTTTCTAATAACTGATCTTTTTTGCGAACAAAAAATTCTTTATTCTTGTCTTTAGTCTCGGGGTGTACGGTTTCTAAATGTCGACGCAATTTGGCAGGTGCCATGGAACTATTAGGAAGCAGTTTACTACAGAGCATGCAGAGAGGTGAGCCGTTGGAATCAACAAATCCGAAACTGATATAAGATTCATCATACTTCCTTTTTTTCGTCTTTGAAACCGTCGAGCTTGACGTCGTGGCACTCGTGGCATCATCTTCTGGATCGGTGATTGCTAAATTCTCCGCGCGCATTGCTTTTGAACATTCAGCGTCATTAGAAGATGTTGTTGGAACACGTTTAACACCTTTAAGCCAACGTTCCATTCTTCTTTATTTATAATGTTACAAGTCAGGATAGTGGGGTTTAAATAATGCACAATCGTTACTGCGTATAAGAGACTAAATTTAGAACCTACAGGGAAGAAATGTATAAAACTGAGACAACAGAATACAGCAGGCAGTAAAACAATGAACACCAGTTTCTCGCTAGCGAGCTTGTAAGTAGGTAGTAACTTATCGCTCCGAACGCTAATCATCAACTGACGACGCCAACGCGCGATCGCCGCTTTTATACTTAGTCCTAGACTCGATCTCAAATATTCTCGAAAATACTCGAGTCGGCACCTTTGATAAACAAAAAGCAAAAATAAAAACAGAAATTTAAAAATAGCGTTGTAAACAATATCGACTTTATCCTTTGAAGTTAGAGACGAAAGTCGCTAGTTGACAACTATAGCGTCTAATTCAGAGGCGGCTTTTATCAAAGAGACTGAGCGCTTACAAGTATACTACCCGCTCGTTTTAAGTTTGCCGCTGGCGATAGGTATGAGTGTATGACGTTCGAAATTTTTTATTTAATTGTAACAATAAAAATTGTGTACGTTAGATATTTGGGTAAAACTATGACACATTATAAGTTTTGTTGTCACGTGGGGGAGGGTACGCGCATTCCACAGACCGGCAAACTTAGAGCGAACGCGTTGTACAAGTATAAAATTGTTGAGACCAAACTTATGAGATATTGTACCAGCTAATGTAACACAAGCTTATACAAATACAAATAAATAAATAAATAACATTCATAGCGTTTTGTCTCCGCGCGGCCGCGGAGTCCGCACAGCCGCGGAGCGACCAGAGAGAGGTGTTTTGATTTTTTTATTTCTAAATTCTTGCGGAACCCCGACAGAGGTATCACGGAACCCTAGGGTTCCGCGGAACACACTTAGAGTATAGCTGGTCTAATAGATAAGAGATAACTGAGACCTAACTAAAAATATACATAAAGAGGTTGATATGATTATTTTTTACGTAAAACAGACAGACAGTATGAATATGACGCCCTTAGCTAGTTCAACATTGCAACATTTTCGTGGCTGTATGGCTTTGTACCATGACATTTCCCATTGCTGAAAAGAACTATAGATTTTTAGTAGGCACAAATTATTTAGTAGAAGTTGCTAGTTATTTAAGCAGCAACGTAAAATATATTTTTAAGCTAACTAATAAAGTGGAATAAAAAGTACTTTATTTTGGAGACAATGTACTTTTTTTCTACCTTTAATATCGAAATGTACTTTGTTTCAACAAAAGAAGGTGGCAACCCTATCCAGGCTTCATTTATGTCTTAAATCAATCCTGAATAGTTTCTCTAGAAACTTGTCTTTATATTAGATGTGTAAATGAAACACCATTACTACATATTATGATAAAACTCAAAATGTGAAAAAAAAAATTAAGTCATGGCAGAAATCTGCCATCTCCAAAGACAGGGTTTTTATGACGTTGGCAGAAATCTGCCATTTACACAGACGTGGGACTATTATGAGGAGCTCGATGGCGCAAGTGGTTAGCGCGTTAAGCAACTTTCGCAGTGGTCGGTCATTGGATGGGGTGACCAAAAATTTACTATCTCTCACTCCTCCGTGCTTTACAAGCCACGTTAAGCCGTTGTTCCCGGCTGCATCTGCAGTCGTCACCCACCAATCCGCACTGGACCCGCGTGGTCATGGACCAATCTCCCTATTCAATCCTTAGGGAAGGCCTGTGCCCCAGCAGTGGGGACATTTATAGGTTGATGATGATGATGTATATATTTACGGGCACGCTGTAGTGTTTGGCGGCGATGGTGAGACCGTGGGTCCCAGCTCGTGCCAGCAATGCCCCACCCGCAAGTACTGCGCGTACTCCTATCACCACCTGTATCAATCAATCAAAATCATTTATTCAGTTTAGGCTGTTACAAGCAGTGGCGGCGCTAGACCACATATGGACGTCGGCGACTTCAAGTTAAATTAAGTGAGCCAAATTATAAAATAACGTATGAGTAAACGAGTTTTATAGTTGATAATCAAATGATAACAAAAAATAATTACAAACAGAAATTTAATTACAAAAATAGTGTTGCCAGACAGACGATTCTGAATACCTGTAAAGTACTCCTCGCTTCCATCACGCACGTGTTCGAAAATAATAAAAGTCATTATCATCTGCTTAGCTTTTTCCCCGAATTGTTCGGGGTCGGCTACCTAAGCCAGGCCAGGAGAGACGAAAATATATAGGTAACTTGAAAAATTTTTTGCGAGGCCCCCTCAGGCGCGAGGCCGACGTCGCCGACGCCTAGCGCCGCCACTGGTTACAAGCACTCATGAATGTCTAGAAGCTACGCCATCGGTTCGTAAATCTACGGCGGGAGACCTTGTACTGAGAAGAACCGGCAAGAAACTCAGCAAGGTCTGTTTCTTTCTCCCTGTTTTGTTTTTGAAGTGAAATAGTAGATTGTTAACCGAGGGTGGAAAGAATCAATTCCCGAGGTATTTAGGCTATAGTCCGAGTAGGAATTGATTCTTTTACCCGAGTTAAACACTGTACTTTTCATTTCGAATATGAGGAAAATAAAACTAGTTGTATATCAAAAATATTTCTTTATAAATAGGTATATATATAGGTTAAATAAAATTAGAAGTAGCTATTTAAAATTAATTGTCATATTAGGACAATTAGTGAAATTAAAATTACATTCTTGTTTGGAATGTTTATGCTGTTTGATATACTATTACAAATTTGGCTGTTTTGGATATCTGTAAAAGTAGGAGACTATGTTATTTCATCAAACGATGGATTCCATAGCGGATACTCCCTGGAAGTTTGAAGAAGAAGTGAAGAAGACAGTCCATTAAAATATGTAAGAAATACACTTTCGGAAAACGATTTTATATTCTTCTCTGCTCGCCACTTTATAAAATCATTGTATGTATTCATATATCCTCTTTTGACATTTCTGGCAAAAGATTCTCTATTAAACAATTTGCCTCGTCTTTAATTGAATCCGGTGTCAACATTTCTGAATCGCTTAAACTCATTTTTAATATTCAAATTTAGATTGCTCTGTTTTACGTATAAGATTTTTTTTTATTCCGTCACAGTTAAATAACAGTTTAGTATCCCGCCAATTTATGTCGACTTTTTTAAATTTAAATATGGAACAGCGTAATTGTTGCGGCTTATTCCGCTCAAAGAAGTTTGTGCTAAGTTCACACTGGCTGCTTAGAAACTCACATGGCATCATATTTTTTTTTACATAAAACTCTTCACTCCTGTCAGTAGTTCTATTTTTAAAGTTAATTCCGGCCCTTAGGCGGGAAGTAATTTGTATGAGTTTTTCCATCTCTAGGGAGGGAAGCAGCATTTTCCACCCAACAAACATATCAAAACAACACCACTTTCCGAGAATGAGAAATGAAAACTTCTTTAGCGGCGTAGTACACTTTTTTTTGTATGAGTAAAAAATGTTAAACTCGCGTCAGGTTAAACACGACTTTCAATATATTGGACGAAACATAGTAATATTTTATTTTACCGTATTATAATAATAAGTCTCTATCTAGGACGTCCAGGTGGCAGCTTTATTGCGAAGAAAATGCATTTTTTTACAATAGATGTCGCTAGGTGCGCTTAAATGTGATTCATATAAGTTGATTTCTTTACAATAGATGTCGCTAAGTGCGCTTAAACGTGATTCATGTAAGTTGCTTTTTCTGAGAGATAAACTTTTTTAATGTAATATAAATTGTCATGTTTGTGTACGATAGCGCAATAAATAAATATTGTATTCTACCACATACATGATAGTACTTTTATACTGATAATTAATGCAAATTCGTGCAAAATTATTCCCTAAACATACCAAAATATCAAAAATGCACAACATTAATACTCAAGTTTTCACTTCTGCTGGCACTCCCGGAGTGCAACCCGTCGTTTTTTTTACCGAGTAGTCAAGCTGAATAATGACTTCAGAGATGATTCATGAAGTCACCTTTCATTACATATGTGAAATATACATTAATCGTTAACCTGCATTTTGATTGCTGTCTCATACAGTATAAATACAAGAAGTGTTATTTATATTAAGTGGAACTTAACAGTAACATCTTCAATCTCAAGAAAGTTTGGGCACACTCATCTCCACTGGCAGCACCCGTTCACGAGCATGACGCATGAACCAGCCATCGCTTCGCTATAAGTCTATGCGATTATATCAATCATAATAGGGTATTTGACAGTATTAAAAATAAAGTGCATATTGTTAGCATCTGTATTTAGTATGAATATTGGCAGGAGTTTTTACTATATTTACAGAAAAAATATTCATAATTTTACTAAAAACCCACGAAAAAGATAATTAGTTTTCTTGTCTATTGACACATGAACCAAAACGCTTTGGATTGGTGGAGCCTAAAATGACGTCACATGCAGGTAAACTTCCGGTTAAAGTGACATTAGACTGTATGGTTTGACGTTTTAATGACAGTCGTGTTACGTCATACACCAGTGAGATGCCATATTGTCCAAAGATACGTTTTTCGCGGTAACTTGAAAGTAGACTTTTTGATTAAGTGTTTTACCGAAATACACAACATAATGATGAATATAGGACTCCATAAACATTAGTCAATAACGTGAGATCGTTTTCTTAAATTTGTCAAATACCCTATTATGAAGTTTAACTAGAAAATTACAAAGGATAAAGGCTATGCGGAGAAGGAGAGTAGAAATTCTCATTTTATATTAAAATTAGTGGACAAAGCATTAGAAAAAGAAATGAATAAGTCGGTTAAGTCGTTTTTAAGTTATAGCATGAGGTGACATTATCAAGAAATAAATAATTTTTGTTTTTTTTTTTAATTATTTATAACAAGCAGACTTGACAAACGTGTGGAGTTGCAAGTTAAGGTTTATGAAAAGGAGACCTTAAATTTGTGCCAAATTTTTCACCTTGGTACAAATTATCCCATTAACAATTCAAATTATACTTAAAAAGACTCACTTATCAAAATCTCAAACTAATTCGTTAAAAAATGCTGCCATTCTGAATTAAAAAAGGGAATCTGCGTAAAGAAACGTTATCTTAGACGCAATTTGTCATTAACTGACAGATGACAGCTAACACTATTGGTTTAAATGAATTTCCTTGATTGTGATTAGCCGCGTACTCACCTAGCGCACGGGCTCGCGCGGCAGCCTCGGTGTCCGGATCGCGAGCGATGGCTCCCGAGGCAGCCTCAGTAGTTCTGTTCAATTTACATGAGGCTGCCTCGCGAGGCAGGCTGAGCCATCATAAAGTCCGCGAGTATCGATATGGACAGTCGTGTATTTTCAGCTGCAGCTATTTTCCTAGCTGCTTATTGTTTAAAGAAACGAAAACAGTCACGTATCAAGAAAAAAAAATGGTTGCCTGTAAAGTCGGTTTTACGGGCGAAGATTTTACGTGACAATGTCTTTTTCTCGGTAGAATATTTATTGATATGAATATAATTAAATTGCACAATAGGAACAAGGAATTGAATGAAAATAAGAATTGCACAAATTTTAACTATAGAAATATATTTTGTTTACTAAAACATTGTACATGTAAACTTAAACTTAACACGAGAGACTCATCGTAACGTTACCGAGCGTTACACTTTTTCATAAGTGACTCCCAGCCGCAACCTAATTTAAGACGTTGTCACGTCAAAAACCTAGACGCTTCTGGATTAGAAAAATTTATGAGCGTCGCCACCAATATGGAAATAGATTACTTGGAGATTTAATGTATGATCAGACTGTACATAATTTTACACGAATGTCCGTACAAGAGTTCGAAAATTTGTGCTCATTGTTGTCTGATAAAATAAAAAAGTGCGATACAAAGTATAGAGAGGCAATCACTGTGAATGAACGAGTTTTAATAACTTTAAGATTTTTAGCAACCGGAGATTCTTACAGCAGCTTGCAATATTTATTTCGAGTATCGAAGCAGAGTATCTCAAGAATAGTTCCAGAAGTTTGTGACGCTATTATTGAAGCCTTAAGTGATTATGTAAAGGTAAATAAAATAAAAAATTTAATTTAAAAATCAATTGTGTATTTTAATTACAATTCAGTGATAGTTTCGAATCCATCATTAGCATTAGGTGATGGTGTAATGGCATGAGAAGACGTAGCGGTATGTGATGCTGATGATGAAGTACCAGATGAGTCCATTGTAGAGGAATTACTGTGCTGCTGTGTATAGTATCCTGTATTAATTTGTTGTTGTGTGTATTTCCCTATATCTGCTTCAAAAATTATATTATTGATAGCGTTCTTAACACACGCTAATGTGTGCGGATCATATTTTCTTAGCTCATTGGCTATGTGTCTTCCAAATGAAAAATATGGATCGGTAATGTCGGTCGAAGACTTTTGCAAGCATTCCAGGGCTTCTGCAAGCATGATATCTGCCGAATCTTCCTGTGGCTGCGTTTTCTTGGGATTTTGTCGTTTTTTTTACGAGCAGGTTCAGATGGTGAAGGCATGCTAGTTTCCGAGGCTAGGTCTTTTTGTTGTTGTGGTGGCGCTTCCTCGATGCTAGCCTCCGGCAATTGCGACTGGATCGGAGCATTTTCAGTCTCTGTATGTCTCTCTGCGTCAGAAGTTTGTAAAGATTCCGGTATCGCCTCCTGAAAACATTATTTTAATTAATAGATCAATTTGTGGTGCAGTGTTAATGTCTATATAATGCGGCAGGACCCTACGTTTAATCCGATTGGAACCTAAAGTTCCGTAAACGTCCGTAGTATTTAATACCTTCCGAATTGTGTAGGTAAAAAAACACGGTCAAGTGCAAGTCGGGCCTGCACACGAAGGCTTCCATATTATTCGAGCAAAAATAATAAGGTTCTGTCATTCATACTACTCAAGCATATATCTACAAATAATGACAACCCTAAAAAAGTACCTTAGTAGCGAAATCTTTAATATTTTTCTAGCAGGATTCTCCATTGCTTGAACGTCTTCGGACTAAAAATATTTGGCCCCTAATATATCACTAAAAGGCCAAATACGGAGTGGTGTATAGTAACCTTTTGAGGGTAACCCAGAAAATGGTTCTAAAGAAAGAATATTTAATTATCGTCTTAGCCGAGCTCGACGTGTCGTTGAGAATGCATTTGGTATATTAAGTGCCATATTTCGCGTTTTTAGAAAACCTATCTTACTAGAGCCAAATAAAGCAACAAAGGTCGTCTTAGCAGCTATATATTTGTACAACTACATCCGGAAAAATACTTCAACTAATCATATTGCACCGGAGTTGTTTGACAGAGAACTTGATGGTGTACTGATTCCTGGTCAATGGAGAAATGAAATAAATGAAGAAACATTCGCACCAATTGCAGCGATTCCAAGGCGTAGTTCTAATAACGCAAAAGAAATACGGTTGCACTTGGCAGAACATTTTATAACTAATGGTTCTATACCATTTCAAAATAATTATGCATAGATAAAAATTCTTACATTCGGCATCGTTTCCTGAGTGTCACCAGTTTCATTTTTATCTTTTAGAAAATCGAAATAAGGATATCCAAACCACTTTGAATTATAAACATCTGCAGCGCCTGAAAAAGAACAAAAATAAATTTTAATTTTCCATAATTTAAAATAATTTAAAAACGTATTTTTGTATCTTCAATTTAGTTAGTAGTAGTAATAAGTAATTATTTTATCAAATAATTTGTAAGTTCATATTTTTAAGTTTTTAAGTATAAAAATGCATACCTGAACCTGTTATGCGGCTTTTTTTCTCCCTGCTTTTCTCTCGACGGTAAGAACCACACAAGGACTCCATTTTTTTTTTCAGTTCCTTGACAGGCATATTAATTTGAGTAGATATTTGCCGCCAACTGTCTTCCCGCTGATTTTTATTTAAATATTTTGGATCTTTGGGGTCCCAAAGCGCTTTGTACGTGCTGTACAGTTGAATTAAACGAATGGACTCCTCCTGAGTGCCCATGATATCAATATTATAGATAGAGACAAACACGGCAAGAGACACAACTTGAAGTAGCTTCGCGCGCGAGCCAAAACACAACCGTTCCCACCTAACGCACAGCGCTCACTGAGGCAGCTTTGAGCGCGTCAAGTTTACCGACAACATCTGGCTCGGGGCCGAGCCGCGCTCAGCCGAGCAAACGCGCGCCCGAGGCGGCCCGAGGCGGCCCGAGGCCCGTCCACACCAGCCGAGGCATTTGGCTCGCGAGGCTGCCGCGCGAGCCCGTGCGCTAGGTGGGTACGCGGCTATTGGTTGTATCCCAATCAGGAAGTGCTTGGACACGACTTAAGCACTTCCTGGTTCACAGTCACGCGCGGATCGTTGAAAAGTCAAGATGCCGCAGAGCTCCGTGAAAAAATGGGAAATAAATACTTATACTACGTAAAGTGTCGTTTTTTCGACATATATCTAATCAATGTTTGTTAATTTAACGCATTTGAAGCAAATTTTGTTCTAATACTTACTATAAATTGATTTAATAGAAAATATTTGTGAAAGTCGAATGCATGATCCGGTAATATAGCCGTCTCTTTTCCTCGCGGTCCGTGCCTGCCATAGTGCTAACAGCGCGTTCAGAATTGCGCGTAGAGTCAAAGAAATAAGGTCTATATTCTTCCGCATATAGCAATAAGTCGTAAAATTTAACGAGCTTGCATTTCGAACTGTCATAACTCTTTGATGCATGCGTTTTAATTAAGACCTTATACTGTATGCATTAAAGCTGACTTTTGATGTTTAAATAATGCCTTATATTGTTTTTGACTACGCGATCATGTTACGGAGCTCCGTGGATCGTCCAATGTACCTTTTGGACAGGTTTCGGCCACGATTTTGTTCATGATGTTGTATCTAGGGTATTTAATATCGTTATTAATAGGAGACAAAAACATTATCATTTCCAAGAAGTACCGGGAGAAATGATTTTGACTAGGGCTTGTTTACCGGTTAATTTTCAAACCTAAATCAGTATCAAGTACATTAGGAGCGTTTTATTTAAGTTGGGCTCTACCTTAACCTTAAAAAAACCAGTTTTCCTAAAAAGCGATATCAAATAGGTTTTGAATCAATTTAACGGTTTTAAAGGGTTTCATTTCGCTCTTACTGACGGCATTGCCTTCGCCGTTTCAATTAAAATTTATAATGATTTTATGTCAGTTTCTTTCCAACTACAGAGCGAGTGAGTGAAGTAATGTGTCAGTACACAACTACAAAATGAATAACTTGACTCACTAGACGCTAGCAAACGTGTCAATAAATGCATCAATCTCTGAGCATTAACAAGTTGTGACTTGATTAGTTCAAAGCGATGACGACACGTGCACGTGTCGCTCTGGATTAAACCGGTTTATTAAGGTTTTAGGTACCGCTTTCATTTCGGATGGCTCCGAACGAAACCTTTACTAAAAACTTTATTTACCGGTATGTTCGAAACCGGTTACAAGCCCTGATTTTGACTTAATATTGAAATGTGATTTTGGGTGGCGGTTGGGGTTGCGTTATCAATCATGTATATTTTGAATTTAAATCTATTTTTTAGGCTGAAATGAATTGCTTCGCTTTGTTTTGCATTGCTTTGCTTGCTGTTATGATGTTGTTTTTGATTGACATTTTTTTTATCTTAATTTTTTTGTTACTTGAAAGCAAAGGATGTTAAGTCCATACATCCTTTCAAGTAATATTTTTTTTACATTTCTTTTTTTTTGTGTCACTAAACAGGCCCTGCCAGAATAACAGCGCTCGTGCGACACAATTTCGCATCAGCTAATGCTGAGGCAGGGTCCTGGTTAGCCCTGAGTTTTTTTTTTATTTGTATCTGTAATGTGTAATATCTGTAATATGAGGGTTAATAAAATTATATTCTGTTCTATTCTATTCTATATAAATAATCGATATATTACCTTATTGACGCGTGACATGACTGCTGCGATACTGGCGTCGTTGATCAGAGTGACGGGAACTCCAGCCGCGCTTAACCGTGCAGCCATAGCGTGACTTTCCTACAATCAAACCGTACATTATCGCACTAATAAAAATTCCAATATTAAAAAAAAATTCAATATCGTTTATTCAGTCTAGGCTGTTACAAGCACTTGTGAAGAAAAAGCTACGCCATCAGTTGGCAAATCTACGGCGGGAGACCTTGTACTGAGAAGAACCGGCAAGAAACTCAGCAAGTGCTGTTTTTTTCTCCCTGTATTATAATACAGAGTCGTCAAATTGAAAAATGACTTCAATATGAGGTAACTCATAAAGTTACTTGCCATTACAAATGCATATAATATAAAAAATATGACTATAAAATAAAAAAATAGATATAAAAAACTGGTTTAACAAAATTACAAAAAAGATTTTTTAAATAAAATACTTTATTAACTAAATAAAGTAATAAATTCATACATAGACAATAAAACTTTAAAAATCGAACAATGAAATAACCGAACGCCCAATAAAAGTCTTTTGAAGGTAGCTCGACAAAATTAAATAAAAATTTGATTCCGACGACGTCAATAAATAAAATGAAACTGAAACTAGCAGCCGACATTCTCTTGAGACAATTATTTTTTTTTCAACTAAAGTATTAGAGTATCTTGGCTGAAATTACACCCACTATTACTTCACCCTAAAAAGAAGTTCTGGGAAAAATTTCATCAATTTCGTATGTGTAGGAGATGAGATAAAGCTTTTTTAAAAAATAAATAATCTTTCTCCTGAGAGAAAATATTTTTTTACAACTAAACTATTAGAGTATCTTGGCTGAAATTACTTCCACTATTTCTTCACCCTAAAAAGAAGTATTGAGAAACATTTCAGCAATTTCGTATGTCTAGGAGATGAGATACAGCTTTTTAAACAAAAAAAATATTCTCCTGAGAAAATATTTTTTTACTACTAAACTATTAAAGTATCTTGGCTGAAATTACTTCCACTGTTTCTTCACCCTAAAAAGAAGTTTTGAAAAAAATTTCAGCAATATCGTATGTCTAGGAGATGAGATACAGCTTTTTAAACAAAAAAAAATTATTTTCCCGAGAAAATATTTTTTTACAACTAAACTATTAGAGTATCTTGGCTGAAATTACTTCCACTGTTTCTTCACCCTAAAAAGAAGTTTTGAAGAAAATTTCAGCAATTTCGTATGTCTAGGAGATGAGATACAGCTTTATAAACAAAAAAAAAATATCCTGAGAAAATATTTTTTTAAAACTAAACTTTTAGAGTATCTTGGCTGAAATTACTTCCACTGTTTCTTCACCCTAAAAAGAAGTTTTGATGAAAATTTCAGCAATATCGTATGTCTAGGAGATGAGATACAGCTTTATAAACAAAAAAAAAAATATCCTGAGAAAATATTTTTTTAAAACTAAACTTTTAGAGTATCTTGGCTGAAATTACTTCCACTGTTTCTTCACCCTAAAAAAAAGTTTTGATGAAAATTTCAGCAATATCGTATATCTAGGAGATGAGATACAGCTTTTTAAACAAAAAAATATTCTCCCGAGAAAATATTTTTTTACAACTCAAATATTAGAGTATCTTGGCTGAATTTATTTCCACTATTTCTTCACCCTAAAAAGAAGTTTTGAGGAAAATCTCAGCAATATCGTATGTCTAGGAGATGAGATACAGCGTTTTAAACAAAAAAAAATATTCTCCTGAGAAAAATTTTTTTTTGAAACTAAACTTTTACAGTATCTTGGCTGAAATTACTTCCACTGTTTCTTCACCCTAAAAAGAAGTTTTGAAGAAAATTTCAGCAATATCGTATGTCTAGGAGATGAGATACAGCTTTTTAAACAAAAAAAAATTATTTTCCCGAGAAAATATTTTTTTACAACTAAACTATTAGAGTATCTTGGCTGAAATTACTTCCACTGTTTCTTCACCCTAAAAAGAAGTTTTGAAGAAAATTTCAGCAATTTCGTATGTCTAGGAGATGAGATACAGCTTTATAAACAAAAAAAAAATATCCTGAGAAAATATTTTTTTAAAACTAAACTTTTAAAGTATCTTGGCTGAAATTACTTCCACTGTTTCTTCACCCTAAAAAGAAGTTTTGATGAAAATTTCAGCAATATCGTATGTCTAGGAGATGAGATACAGCGTTTTAAACAAAAAAAAATATTCTCCTGAGAAAAAAATTTTTTTGAAACTAAACTTTTACAGTATCTTGGCTGAAATTACTTCCACTGTTTCTTCACCCTAAAAAGAAGTTTTGAAGAAAATTTCAGCAATATCGTATGTCTAGGAGATGAGATACAGCTTTTTAAACAAAAAAAAATATTCTCCAGAGAAAATATTTTTTTACAACTAAACTATTAGAGTATCTTGGCTGAAATTACTTCCACTATCAGTCAAGATACTCTAATAGTTTAGTTGTAAAAAAATATTTTCTCGGGAAAATTTTTTTTTGTTTAAAAAGCTGTATCTCATCTCCTAGACATACGATATTGCTGAAATTTTCTTCAAAACTTCTTTTTAGGGTGAAGAAACAGTGGAAGTAATTTCAGCCAAGATACTGTAAAAGTTTAGTTTCAAAAAAATTTTTTTCTCAGGAGAATATTTTTTTTTGTTTAAAACGCTGTATCTCATCTCCTAGACATATGAACTTGCTGAAATTTTCCTCAAAACTTCTTTTTAGGGTGAAGAAACAGTGGAAGTACTGTCAGCCAAGATACTCTAAAAGTTTAGTTGTAAAAAAATATTTTCTCGGGAGAATATTTTTTTGTTTAGAAAGCTGTATCTCATCTCCTAGACATACGAAATTGCTGAAATTTTCTTCAAAACTTCTTTTTAAGGTGAAAAAACAGTGGAAGTAATTTCAGCAAGATACTCTAATAGTTTAGTAGTAAAAAAATATTTTCTCAGGAGAATATTTTTTTTTGTTTAAAAAGCTGTATCTCATCTCCTAGACATACGATATTGCTGAAATTTTCTTCAAAACTTCTTTTTAGGGTGAAGAAACAGTGGAAGTAATTTCAGCCAAGATACTCTAAAAGTTTGGTTTTAAAAAAATATTTTCTCAGGAGATTTTTTTTTTATGTTTAAAAAGCTGTATCTCATCTCCTAGACATACGAAATTGCTGAAATTTTCTTCAAAACTTCTTTTTAGGGTGAAAAAACAGTGCAAGTAATTTCAGCCAAGATACTCTAAAAGTTTAGTTGTAAAAAAATATTTTCTCGGGAGAATATTTTTTTGTTTAAAAAGCTGTATCTCATCTCCTAGACATACGAAATTGCTGAAATTTTCTTCAAAACTTCTTTTTAGGGTGAAGAAACAGTGGAAGTAATTTCAGCCAAGATACTCAAATAGTTTAGTAGTAAAAAAATATTTTCTTAGGAGAATATTTTTTTTTTGTTTAAAAAGCTGTATCTCGTCTCCTAGACATACGAACATGCTGAAATTTTCCTGAAAACTTCTTTTTAAGGTGAAGAAATTCCGGAAGTAATTTCAGCCAAGATACTCTCATAGTTTAGTTGTAAAAAAAATATTTTCTCAGATTTTTTTTTTGTTTAAAAAGCTGTATCTCATCTCCTAGACATACGATATTACTGAAATTTTCCTCACTACTTCTTTTTAGGGTGAAGATATAGTGGAAGTAATTTCAGCCAAGATACTCTAACAGTTTAGTTGTAAAAAAATACACACATCAAAAGTGTCTAGGGATCAAGCATTTTTATGCGGATTTCTTGAGATTGAGATGTGGCTTTGTAATAAATTTATGATTTTATAAATTTATATGGATCCTTTTTGGTGCATTTCATAATTTGAATCAGGAACTGTGAATCAAATTCGAGTAAAAGATGAAAATCAGCTGTCAATATTTTCCCTATAAAAACATACAACGCATTGAAGACATTATTAGTGCTACTGTTTCCCTACTACTGATTAAAACCAACGTTATTATGGAGCGGCGACGTCATTTAAGCAGGGAAGAAATGCTCAGAGCCGTGGGAATGATAGAAGCTGGTTCCCGGCAACGTACTGTGGCTTTAGCTCTGAATACAAGTCAGAGTGTTATCAGTCGACTTTGGACACGATACCGAAGCACTGGTACCGTGGCTGAGCGCCATGGAGGACGGTATCGCTGCACCACACGGAGACAAGACCGATACATTCAAATCTTAACTCGAAGAGCTCCAACAATAACCGCCATGATGTTAGCCGTGAGGCTTCATCACTCTTCAGGGAACTTAATTAGCGACCAAACAGTCAGAAACCGCTTGCATGAAGTGAACCTTCATTCCCGAAGACCGCTACGGGTACCACCTATAGCAATGCACAATCGTAGGATTCGATATCAATGGGCTCTTGAACACAGAAATTGGGCAGAAGAACAATGGCGTTTCGTGTGCTTTTCTGATGAGTCTCGTTTTGGTATGAGACCGGATACAAGACGTATACGACACTGGAGAACCCCTGGACGCCAACAGCGATTAAAATCCTGCCAGGAAGTCCATCCTTATAGTGGTGGAACCATCATGGTATGGGCGGGTATTTGGATCGGCGGAAGAACTGAGTTGATTTGGATCAGAGGCAACCTCAACGCTCAAATTTATGCTGAGACGATTGTATCAGACGTCATCGTTCCTCTACAAGTGCAAATCGGTCCCTTATTTCAGTTAATGCATGATAATGCACGACCGCACACCGCAAGAGTTGTAAGACAGACTCTCGCCGCAGCTAACATCAATGTCCTGCCCTGGCCTGCTCAGTCGCCAGACTTGAACCCGATTGAGCATGCATGGGATATGCTACAGAGAAGAGCTCTGCCGAATATGGAGGGTATCCAGTCGCAAGAAGACCTTTTTTTGTTGTTGCAACGAACATGGGCGGCCATTCCACAGCGTGATTTGGATGAACTCATTTTGAGTATGCCAAACCGATGTTCTTGTGTTGTTAGTGTTCGCGGTAGAAATACGGATTATTAATTGTTTCAGTTACCCAATAAAATTTTAGAGAAAACTGTTATTTCAGTCTTTTTTTCGAACTTTTGTGTTAGTGGTTCAAATGTCTAAAATCCCTTTATTAGGAAAATGGCAAATTTCTTTATTAATGCAAAGGTGACTTGGTTTATCGTTACTGTGACAAACGAAAACACTTTATTTGATGAATCCTTAAAGAAAATTTTAATTAATATCAATCAGGAGAAAAGTTATTGCAAAAATATATGTTGATCCCTAGACACTTTTGATGTGTGTATTTTCTCGGGAGAATATTTTTTTTTGTTTAAAAAGCTGTATCTCATCTCCTAGACATACGAACTTGGTGAGATTTTCCTCAAAACTTCTTTTTAGGGTGAAAAAACAGTGCAAGTAATTTCAGCCAAGATACTCTAATAGTTTTGTTGTAAAAAAATATTTTCTCGGGAGAATATTTTTTTGTTTATAAAAAGCTGTATCCCATCTCCTAGACATACGATATTGCTGAAATTTTCTTCAAAACTTCTTTTTAGGTTGAAGAAACAGTGGAAGTAATTTCAGCCAAGATACTGTAAAAGTTTAGTTTCAAAAAAAATTTTTTCTCAGGAGAATATTTTTTTTTGTTTAAAAAGCTGTATCTCATCTCCTAGACATATGAACTTGCTGAAATTTTCCTCAAAACTTCTTTTTAGGGTGAAGAAACAGTGGAAGTACTTTCAGCCAAGATACTCTAAAAGTTTAGTTGTAAAAAAATATTTTCTCGGGAGAATATTTTTTTGTTTAAAAAGCTGTATCTCATCTCCTAGACATACGATATTGCTGAAATTTTCTTCAAAACTTCTTTTTAGGGTGAAGAAACAGTGGAAGTAATTTTAGCCAAGATACTCTAACAGTTTAGTTGTAAAAAAATATTTTCTCGGGAGAATATTTTTTTTTGTTTAAAAAGCTGTATCTCATCTCCTAGACATACGAACTTGCTGAGATTTTCCTCAAAACTTCTTTTTAGGGTGAAGAAATAGTGGAAGTAAATTCAGCCAAGATACTCTAATAGTTTAGTTGTAAAAAAATATTTTCTCGGGAGAATATTTTTTTGTTTAAAAAGCTGTATCTCATCTCCTAGACATACGATATTGCTGAAATTTTATTCAAAACTTCTTTTTAGGGTGAAGAAATAGTGGAAGTAATTTCAGCCAAGATACTCTAATAGTTTAGTTGTAAAAAAATATTTTCTCGGGAGAGTATTTTTTTTTTTGTTTAAAAAGCTGTATCTCATCTCCTAGACATACGATATTGCTGAAATTTTCTTCAAAACTTCTTTTTAGGGTGAAGAAACAGTGGAAGTACTTTCAGCCAAGATACTCTAAAAGTTTAGTTGTAAAAAAATATTTTCTCGGGAGAATATTTTTTTGTTTAAAAAGCTGTATCTCATCTCCTAGACATACGATATTGCTGAAATTTTCTTCAAAACTTCTTTTTAGGGTGAAGAAACAGTGGAAGTAAGTTTAGCCAAGATACTCTAACAGTTTAGTTGTAAAAAAATATTTTCTCGGGAGAATATTTTTTTTTGTTTAAAAAGCTGTATCTCATCTCCTAGACATACGAACTTGCTGAGATTTTCCTCAAAACTTCTTTTTAGGGTGAAGAAATAGTGGAAGTAAATTCAGCCAAGATACTCTAATAGTTTAGTTGTAAAAAAATATTTTCTCGGGAGAATATTTTTTTGTTTAAAAAGCTGTATCTCATCTCCTAGACATACGATATTGCTGAAATTTTATTCAAAACTTCTTTTTAGGGTGAAGAAATAGTGGAAGTAATTTCAGCCAAGATACTCTAATAGTTTAGTTGTAAAAAAATATTTTCTCGGGAGAATATTTTTTTTTTGTTTAAAAAGCTGTATCTCATCTCCTAGACATACGATATTGCTGAAATTTTCTTCAAAACTTCTTTTTAGGGTGAAGAAACAGTGGAAGTAATTTCAGCCAAGATACTCTAATAGTTTAGTTGTAAAAAAATATTTTCTCGGGAGAATATTTTTTTTTTGTTTAAAAAGCTGTATCTCATCTCCTAGACATACGATATTCCTGAAATTTTCCTCAAAACTTCTTTTTAGGGTGAAGAAATAGTGGAAGTAATTTCAGTCAAGATACTCTAATAGTTTAGTTGTAAAAAAATATTTTCTCTCAGGAGAAAGATTATTTATTTTTAAAAAAAGCTGTATCTCATCTCCTACACATACGAAATTGCTGAAATTTTGCCCAGAACTTCTTTTTAGGGTGAAGAAATAGTGGGTGTAATGTCAGCCAAGATACTCTAATAGTTTAGTTGAAAAAAAAAAATTTTGTCTCAAGAGAATGTCGGCTGCTAGTTTCAGTTTCAACAATTTATTAAAATTATATTTTTAGGAGAGGAGATAAAGGTACCAAAACTTGTCACGTTAATTTTTAATATTATTTGTAATTTCGCAACGAAAAATTCTAATTTTTAAAAAATATAGGGCCCGGACCCTATCTTCTATGTTTCGTCCATGTCGGCTGCTAGCTGGTGGCTGCTAGTTTCAGTTTGATATAAATAAATAAAGTTTCGTGCATTAACCCGTGAAAAACTAGTTTTATTTAATGAGTGATGTGCGTGAAATCCTAAGAAACAAATATGGTTTAACAAAGTTTAGGAATGCCGTCTCCTACTGTTTAGGCAGTATTAAAAAGTAAAACCTTTTTTATAGCAAGAGCACCGCGATACGATATATAAAGCGTTTTTATCACGCTCAGCTGTCAAATCACTATGGAGTTTGACAGTTGGACGCGATAAAAAACGTGATATAATGTAAATTGTGGTGCTCCTGCTACGGTGACTGATGTTAAGTGGTGATGAAGTCCAAACGCGAAGGTAGCTGGTACAGCAGTTATAAACTGCCACACCAACCTCAACTGCAAAAATACTCCTTCACGTCTCTCTTAAAGGACCCCAGATTGTAGGAAGGAGGGAACACGTGCGCGAGCAAAGAATTCCACTTACGAATAGTACGACAAACAAATGAGTCACTAAATTTCTTTGTTCGTGTGGGAATAGTGGCCACAGTAAGTCGGTGGCAACGTAGACCAGCGCGCGTGGTCCTCTGAAGGAAAGGTGATGGAGGGATAAGGGAGAATAACTCCTCAGAACACTCGCCGTGGTTAGCCGGTAGAATGCGCTTAATGATGCCACATCGCGGCGCAATTGTATAATAGTTTCTCACAATAGTTTCAGTGATTTAAGCGTGAAGGGTTAAACACACAGACATACTTGAACATTTATAATTTAGGCTGGAAATGGGCTAAAATCTAGTCTAAGAAATATTTTTTATAAACTAGAGCCCCCTCGCCCAGCAGCAGACGGTAGTCTCTCCGGGCCGCCTACAGGAACCTCACCGATATGGAGGCGGTGCAGGTTTCTATCCCTTTTTTCACCCTCTTAAGGGATGATTCTTGGGATAAAAAGTACCCTACATCCTTTCCCGGGACTTTAACTTTTTCTGTACGAAATCTCATCTACATAGTGTCAGTGATTTTACCGCGAAGGGGTAGAAGATACATAGTAGAGAGGTCGACTGCGACTCCGCTGAAGTTATTTTTGTTTTTTTTGAGAATCCTTAAAAGGAACCTAACATTTCATGAGGATAAAAAGTAAGCAACGTCTTAATCCAGATAATAAACTATCTCCATATGAAATTTCAACTTTCGATGTAAAACTTCTTTAGACACGCCTGACTTGGGGGGGTAAACTGGCGAATGTGTTACGGTTTCGCGTTACGATTAATGTCATCGGTGACCCATCGGTAAACAATGAACAATACCCATCACAAAATATATGAATCTAGTGCTTGATGGATGGGTGGGTGCATCGATTCAGTGGTTTAAGCGTGAAGGCGTAAAAGACACATCTATATATATATAAAACTCAAAGGTGACTGACTGACATAGTAATCTATCAACGCACAGTCCAAACCACTGGACGGATCGGGCTGAAATTTGGCATGCAGGTAGTAGATGTTATGGCATGACGTAGGCATCCGCTAAGAAAGGATTTTGATCAATTCTACCCCCAAGAGGATAAAATAGGGAATGAAAGTTTGTATGAAACTTTGTCAATTTTAAACCGGTCGGACTGAGACTTTGCATGCAGGTATAAGAAGAATCATAGATAAATGTCATTGTGTATAATACTAGCCTGAGAACAAAAACTGTAGTCTACACTTCAGCTCTACACCGAAGCGAAGCGAGGGCGGGCCGCTAGTTTATAATTAAGTCTGGAACTGGGCTAGAATCTAGTCTAAGAATTTTTTTATACCTGCACCCTTGGCCCTTCGCCCAGCAGCAGACGGTAGTGTGTATGCCTCCGGGCCGCCTTCAGGAACCGCTCCGTGAGGCTGGAGGCTCCGTGCGTGAGGATCAGCTCCGCGGCGTGGACGTGGGCCCGGGCTTGAGAGGATATCGACGCGGTGCAAGATTCTATCTCGGCGCGGACCTGGTTGTCCGGGGAGATAATAATAATATAGCCTTTTTATTGAGGAGATCGATGGCGCAGGTGGCTAGCGTGTTCGGCTGTGATCGTTGAAGTTAAGTAACTTTCGCAATGGTCGGTCATTGGATGGGTGACCGAAAATCTTCTATCTCGAGTTCCTCCGTGGTTCGGAAGGCACGTTAAGCCGTTGGTCTACCTCTTTGCGTTGTTTGTTGGTCCTTGCCAAGTACGTACTCTATGTGTCCATTTAGTCCGGGAAGTTAAATTTATTAAAACAGACGAATGTTTGGTCCAATGGCAGGTCTAACGCTAATACCATGTGACTACTAACTACCTCCACCCTAAAATCCGCATTGGGCCCGCGTGGTAGAACACGGCCCAATATCTCTATTTCATCCATAGGCAAAGGCGCGTGCCCAACATTGGGAACATAAAGGCTGATGATTTGTCATCAAGTCCTCTCTTGCCTCCACGATATAGGGTGTATTCCGTAATATATACCAGTATACCGGCCATTGCTAATAACGTCATGGATCGACGCTATACTGGTTAATTGTTCCGAAATATATTGGCCAGTGCACTGACGTCATAATTCGACGAAATATTAGAAATAGTAAGCAAAGTTTTTTTACACACAATTGATGAGCAATTAAAAGGAATTCTTTTTGTTCGGCTGCCATTATTGTTCTTTAAATAAAATTCGAATGCAGATGCATTTTTCGTGCGTGATCTCACGCAAAATATGGTAGTATACCAGTACAATATGGCGTCGGATTCGTGACGTCATTACCACTGGCCAGTATACTGATGTACATTTCGGAATACACACATGGTCTCTCCCAGTGTGGTTCCTAATGGCAGCACTGCCTCGAACGTGCATAAGGCCGGTGGTCGGAAACCAAACCATAGCGTGTTTTAATACTTTACAAGCGCCATCTATTAGCAATTTTCAGAACTATATTTAATATAAAAAGCTCTCTCACCTCTGCGATATGATCCCTTAGAGGTTCCCTCAGGTGTGGCAGCGCAGCCCCGAGGGTAGTGCGTCGACCTCCGTGTGCCGCCAGCACGAGACGCTGTAAGCTATCCCCGGAGCCTTCTGTGCCAGTGCCAGTACCAGAAGTAGCACCTCCGCTCTTTGAATAAGAATAAATATTTCTAAGGCTGGAAACAGTGCTCGACCGACGGTACGTCCTGATTGTCAGCGCTGACCGTCGGTTGCGAAAATGCATTCAGTGCTACGCTGACGGCTAACAGCACCCTTAGCACGAACCAATATCGAATTCGTATCGTTTGCGAGTCCGTCATGTGATTGTCAAATGTGTACTGATTTTTAGTTCTCGTTACGTACTTTGTGCCGCTGCTGTTCAAGTTTCCATACAAAATTTGACATCGACATTTCGGTTTGCAAACTATTCGAATTCGATAATGGTTCGTGCTACTTACTACTAGTTCACGAGAAAAATGAACCCTTTTCCTGTAATATGTGCACGCTATTTTTTACGCAATTAATTCTTTACAAAGTTGTTGTAAGGACTTTTTTTTAGCATCATGGTCTTTTTATACAAATTATATGAAATTTATTATTAAGTACATAAATTTCATATTGCCTGACGAAGCCGCACTTCAGTAATAAGGCGCTCTGTATCAATATTCATTTTTGCTTTGAGTGTACGTACGAGCGTTTGGTCGGTCGCTCCGTCAGTGAAGCACTGAACGCAATCTCACAGCTCGTCGGTCGACCGACGTACGCGCGACCGACGATCCGGACCGACGGCTCGACCGACCGTACGCGCGTACCATCAGCGTAGCTGTATGCGCATTGATAGACTTGCATAGATATAGCTACGCCGTCCGACGGTCAGCGCTGACCGACGGTCGAGCACTGTTTCCAACCTAAGGCCGTATACAGAAAGAAACCCGAAAGCCGATTAAAGCAGATCAAGCAAAATGTCGGACTCATCGGACGATGATTTGGTTTTGTTAGAAAATGTGTATTTAAAAATGCGAAAATAGCTATACATCCTATAAATTTTATATAGAGATTGGTTTTTGACAGTGTATCCTTGTCTGTCTCTATCTCTAACAGGATGAAAAGGAGAGACTGATGCTAAACTTAGTTTTAAAAAAAATATTACTAGAAAAAACTCCTCTCTTGGACCCTTCGCTATCCGAGTGAATGTACTGACCAAATATGCTACCGCGGCCCTGATGGCCGTGTCGAATTCTTTCTAGCCTTTCTTAAGCTGTAAGGCAGCGCCATCTCTTCGCATTGTAGGTACCCGACGGAATTAAGACCACTGTCATAAGTATGCTTGTAGGTAAGTACAGTCAAAACCGAATATAACGACATCGTTTATAACGACTTGTCGATTATTACGACCAATTGGCAAGGTCTCGACCGAAACCCTATGTAAACCCTTAAGTAAAAAAACCGCCTATAACAACACCGGCTATAGCGAAATACCGCTTAAAACGACTTATAGCCAATGAATATTGATAAAGTTCATATCATATATAATGACTAACCATTTTATTTGTTCCACCAAAACAAAATATACTGTAGGTACTTCCATTTTTTCATAGTAGACTTATTACTTCTTTTTTCGATATTTTATACGAAAACAAGCATATATTCATTATCTATAACCATACTACATACATACATATGACAATAACATACGTATATTGCTTATAACAACTGCCGGACATAACGTTCGAAGTTATATGGACCCTTCAATGTCGTTACATCCGGTTTCCACTGTACTTAAATAGATAAACACCTGTTCGCACAGCAGGCGGTGCTCGTCCCGAATCGCTCGTAGCACCCGCCGCGCCATGTTAGCCGCTACAAGCTCCTGAGGCAGCGCGCGGCATAAACGCCTGCCTACCTCGCGAACTACGCCGCTTAACTCGCTGTAAAACGGGAGCTATTTAACCAAACAGGTGTAAGGTAAAAAAAACCCCGCCCCCCCGACACAGAGAGGTTCGATTCCTCTCAGTCCCCTCCCGTTCCAAGTGCACATCTGAGTGCACTTGTCCTCTATGCGCATTTTGCGTTATTTTAAACTATGCACTAGCTTAGATCGCTTCAGATGAAGCTTGTAAGGCCCTTCTGGCCTTAAGCATGATTAAAGGGTGTTTTTTAGTCAGTAAGAGTCTGATATAACCTTACAGCCGGCTGTAGGGTATCCATGAGGATTTCTCACCCTCTCCCCCGACTGGGAGGAAACATAAAAAAAAAGGTAAAAAAAAGAAAAAAAAAGGTGTGTGATTTAACTGTTGTTACCAATAGATGGCTAAACCAAAAGAAAAGGCTGGAGGTGATGGCCGGTTGGTGATTGCCGGATTGGCGTCTCAGCTTCCATTTAAAAATTAAAAAAATAAAGGGCGCCAGGTAGCTGGAGACATCTCCAGGTGTCCGGGATAACTTAAGGGGAGCATCTTACTTCTAATCGCAAGGGCAGTTTCGACTAGGATTGGTTGTTTGATTCAAAGGAAAAGAAATGTAATGAAAAGTAAACCAAAAGAAAAGGAGCTGCAATCGCAGTTCCTACTAATTTAATTAAAGGGCCATTGGCTCCTTTAACAATTTAAATTAACGCAATGAGCGCATTTTTAAAAAAGAAGTGAGGTTTCAATATTAAAGGACATTGTTCAGCGTCCATACATAGTTAGCCTAAGAACCAACAATCATGAAATATTATTTTCTAGGTTCAAAATCGTAAGTAAATGACTGTAAAAACAAAGATTATTGACGGACACTTCTGAGAACTTAAATTATTAGGAAAACTATAATTTTTTTGAGGTTATGTTTAATATTCAATGAAACATAGGTCCACCTATGAATTTAGTATAAACTGAGTATGAAATGAATTAATATTACAACTAAGTAATTCATTTTATTCGGTGTGATTTTAAAGAATAACTATTAGGAAAAACTTGGTTAGGTAGGAATCATGAATAAAATAAAAACTGTAGTTTTGCTTCTTATTTATTGAATATTTTTTACATAATTGTATCATATTGTTTATTGCATTTATTTGTATATCACATGTAGGTATATTGTGTAAATATGCAGCGTGAATGTGTATCAGGTGTTCTTGGATAATTTGGCAGTATGATCCTCTCAGGATGTTGTGGCACAGGTTCACTAGCACTTGGTAATAAGGCCTCTGCTCTTTGGTAACATCGATGGCATATTAGATAGCCGAAAAAGTTAAATTAAAGGAAAAACAATCGCAAATAAACACACACAACAGGTAATCCGAAACGAGAAAGCACTTTCCGGTTTAATAAACTACTCTTTGGAATGCATGAATGCCACAGATTACTACGAATGCAATCTGCCTGCACCACAACCACAGAGTATCGAGTTTTATGCCGGCCCTTCACTTGACAACAGTTTGTCTTTGTCATGCTTAATAAGGAATGATAAGGACAGACTGCTGTTATGTTTTAAAATAGCAAATACGAATAGCCAAGTGAAGTGCCGGCATTAGGAAGAAAGTGTTTTGTTTGCAGCGCTGCTATAGATTACACACATAAAATGGTATTTATTGTCTCAGATTATTTTTTAACTTTTTAATTTAGCTTACTTAACTGGAAGTGTCCGTCACAATCTAAATAATGATAATTATCGCAAAAAATATAGTAACAATTATCATAAATGCCAAATTGGTGTTGGTTCTTAGGTCAATTTTAACATTGTCCTTTCAAATTTATAAAAAAAGATGACCAATTGTCTCTTAAAAAAATTGAAAAGTGTTGCCAGCTCTCACTTCAAAAATCGCCTTGTGTTCCAGTGTTGTCGTATTAAAATTAAAATTTGGGCATGGACAAACCATAAATTACAAAAAATTTAGAACTATGTATTTTTTGACAACCATTATTTACTTTTTAGAAAGTTATCCGAAATTAAAACAAATTTTTAAAGACCTATGTTTTATTTATTAATAATAGAGAAAAATTTTGAGTGACGGATGTCAAACTAGTTAATAAATAAATTACATAGTAATGGCGTAGGTACGACGTTACACAGGCTCTATATCGCTCATTTTCGACCGGTGGTATCGTCATTTAAATAAATAGATTGGCTTCAGTATTAAGTCATTATAGTGTGTCGCTATGTTGTTTAAATTTTGTATGGTTAATAACGTACAATTCTCTGTTACCAGGATTACACAGGATTTGTTATAGTACTACTTAATCTTTGTATATACTATATAGATATACGATACTTTAACAGATCTGTATTCGTATCGGCAATATCAAAGTTTCTATGTAAACGGTAGAATGAGTAGCTGCGTTTGGTATATGCATTGTAGAGGCGACGGGTTTTTAATCACGTGATCACAGATTAATCTGAGCAAATTGCTATTATCGAATGGCTTGACCAAACATAGATTAATTTCTAACCTCACAATATGACCAGGTTAATTTTTCTCATGGGTCAAATTACTTCAAGCAAACAGATTTACATACGATTGATCAGTGCAGAATTACCGAACGCTTCAGATTTACTCTAGGTATAATAAAAAAACGATTCAGGCTAAAAAGATTGATCAGACGCAAATAACGAATGCAGCTTGTGTGTTACATATGCTATGAAATTCAGTGTAAATGTTGCCTAACTACATCTTAGTTACTGATTAGAAATTAAGAGACCTGTATAAAGCTAGGCCTGTGCTGTGTAATACTTTTAATGGTTCTGCACCACATGACAGTACCCTCAGTATGAACCAAATTCAATCTTCATATTCAATTTAAAAAAAGGAAACAGTACCACAACAGATGTGACGAGAATAAAAAAATATTCATACAAACCTTCTTGACATTTGATGGATATGGAAATCAATTACTCCAATTCAGTATTGGTTCGTACTAAGGGTACAGTACTCATAGTTTCCTCATTAAAGTCCTACTCAAAATACTTCAAACTCAGACATTCAACTTATATTATGGTCTTAAACTGTGTACAGAATGCAATCTGCCGAAAAAACCATTACACACAACAAACTTTGGTATGTTAGTAACAGTGTCATTGCCAGATAATAGCATCTGAGACAACCCCTAAAGTATCTTTTCAAAAGGAGTATAAATTAATTGTAATAACTTACAGAGCCGTAGCATTCTCACACTCGGTGATGATTTGCTCCAAGAGTGACAGTGTTGTCAGTGCAATGTTGTTTGAGCCTTCGATCTTCCTAAAAAAGCAATCAAGTAAACATGAAAGTATTAGCACAATAATATCCAGGCAACAATTGAAATGGTTAATCTTCGAGGAGCTCGATGGCGCAAGTGGTTAGCGCTTTCGGCTGCGATCGTTGAACTTAAGCAACTTTCGCAGTGGTCGGTCATTGGATGGGTGACCAAAAATCACTACGTGCTTCGGAAGGCACGTTAAGCCGTTGGTCCCGTGTAGTTAACTACAATAAATAAATAATAAATATTTCCAACACTCACACCAATTAGCCTAGCCCCAAAGTAAGCACTGTGAGGCTTGTGTTATGGGATACTAGGGTAACGGATACAATACATATACTGTACATATATAAGTATATTTTATTATTTAGAAATACATATGAAACATCCATGACAGAAGTACAAATGCTCGTATTCATCACACAAACATCTGCCCCCACCGGGATTCGAACGCGGGACCTCTCGAGTCGGCGACACCATGAAACCCGGCGTACACCACTCGACCACGGAGGTCGTCAAGATGCCACAATAGGCAAGAAATGCGGCAGCCCTTAGATAAATCATTGGTCTCCTCATGGTCAACCAAAGGGTGACCAATCATTTACGTAAGGACGCTGCTTTGTAGCTCAAAAAATACTAAGAAGAATATAAATTAAAAAATTTAAGTTCTCAAACTTACCCATTTCTAATGTCTGAAACAAATTTCACAATTTTGTCCTCGTGCTTACTATCCAGTTCCCTAGGTGGACTTTCTGAGGGCGCCATTATTAATATTGACAATAAAACCAATCTTTCCTTACTTAGTAATTAATTTATTAATGTTTTTATTACGATCAACGTAAGCTAAAGAAACGTAACCTCTAAACTAAATAATCTATCTGTCAATGTCAATCAAATTGTCAAAAAAAAACAGTAATCCACAGATATATGATAACATGATTTCGATTTGTGTAAAGGAATGTTGTTTTTATTTTCAAACAAAATTGCTAATGGGTTTCTTGATTCGTACAGACATGCTCATCACACGAACAAAGTTTATAAATCTTCGGTATTCCAACAAAAAAATGATTCCTGATGTGATGCCAGTCAATACGCTCATTTTCTGCTGTTATTGACGTTTGAACTCCCAAGTTCTCATACTTGCGTCTTTTTATTGCTGGCATTTCACAACTTCGCAGAATCAAACTACCATTTATTTGCGAGCTATGTCCCATTGATGATTGGCTGCTATCATCGAGTCGATTAAATGATGATGGAAAAGATACATCGCCTGATTCCCATGGTATTTCATGTATGAATGTAAAATTGTGGGCACCTTTATCTTCTTTGTATAAAGAATCTTCTTCTTTTTGATGTTCCAACGACGCGCTTCTTTTGAATTGAACATCGGCACCGATGCTCAACGTTTCCGTATCATTAAGGTCATTTTGTAAAGAGCCTAAGGACGGCGAAACACAGCGCTGCCTTCTCATTTGCTCAAAATCATCATTTTCAACATTAGTTTCACTGTCTGTTGTTCTTTCATCGTCTTCTTTTTCTGTGTTTTCACCTATATCTGTAAAAGGGCATTCCAGAAATAATATAACAACCAAAATTAGTTAATGAAAATTGTAAAATGAGCAACTGACCTGAATCTTGGTTACTGCCTGTCTTTTCGGTACTTTGATCATTGGAACTTTGTTCTCTATCTACTAAACTGCGATTTATAAGCGGTTTTAAAACCAATATAGGGCTACTACATCCAGCCTGGTCCTCGTGGACAGGGCTAACACATTGTAAGTCTCCAACCTGTAAAGATGGAGCTTCATGGACCATAACGTGGGTTGTTAATTGGATCTCATCACAAGCTGAAATTTCTTCAGATCTTGCTTTACAGTCTACGCTATGTTCATTATCTGATTCAGAAGAACTTGGCTTATAAACAGGTACATAAACAACAGTATCTAGAATAGAATGGGCAATTTCAGAACTTTTATCATAATTGGATTCCAAAGCTGTAACAAAATGAGTCTCATCGTGCTCAGAAGGAGAAGAACCAGTGGCTACTTTGTCTGTTTTATCAACCGCGATATAATCGCTAACATCTTCTTTATATAACTCTTGGAGATCTTCCAAAGAGCTGCTTATTTCGTTATGATACAGTCTCCTGTAAAGTTTTTTCATCTTTTTTTCCAATTCATCGTAGAATTCGGGAGGGTGATCATGGCGGTTTGGCAATTTTTCTATAATAAGCGGAGGCAGGGGACTATATGATCTTAAAGGTGATACATCTCTTGAAGACGCGTGTCGTGATTCATGATCTTCTGGTACAGGTGAAAGCACTAAAGAAGACAAGATTATAAGTCTTAACAACATATCAATTTAGATAATATGTGTGGACAACTTAATAAGTATTGACTTCTAACTTATAGATACTTACGTGGAATATCATGGAATAAACTACGTATTAAATAAGTTTTTTTTCTTTCCCAATCTTCATGATAATTACGCCACATATTTTCACCGTTGGTGGTACTTACTAAAGAGAATTTATTCACTACAGCTCTCTCTACTTCTTTAAAATTTTAAAGGCATATTTCATATATGTTGAGGGTAGGTGAATAAAACAATAGACTTTACACATTTATAGTTGTAGGTTGCTTATACTTTTTCTTTTGTAAAAAAAATTTGCAATATTATGAGATAGTAAATATATAAGCTATTAAGTCAATATTTGTGGAAGAACACAACAAATAATATTATGCTTATTATACAAAAACGATTCGTTTCGCTGAAACCGAACTTTTCATATTTAACAGCTGATTGAAAGTTTTGGTTTTGTCTATGGTTGTGTCTTCTGACACATTTCCAAACAAAAAGTGTTTCGAATCGATAATAGTTTTTATTAAATAAATAAAATTACATTTAATAATAAATTCTCGCTGTGTATTTATGAGACCAAAAAAGTTTATGTGTGTGCAATGTAATACTTTTCATTAAGTACAGCGGCTGTAATAAGAATTTAATGGAGTTTTACTGTACTAAAAATATCGCAACGCTTCAGCGATTGTATTGTCCGGAAATGTTTTATTTCTCCACGTATTGTGATAGAATCTGTTGAAAATGGACCTTTCCCCGGACGAGGACAACTTTCAAGGGCGCCTGTTGCATCAGGTATACAAGAAATTGATAATGATGCACCGCACTTATTTCTGTTTTCGTGCGTTGAAAAAAACATTGTTTTGGTGAATGTCTGGCTGGCTGTGGCCGGGAGTATGTGTGTCGCTATATTTGTGCGCAGTTTTATATGAGTTCTTCAAAATAGTTTTTTTTTCATAAGTTTATATGAATCTAAATTTCACTGTTTTCTGGTTGAATTATTATAATATTATATTGATATAATATTTATATTTCCAACACTTACACCAATTAGCCTAGCCCCAAAGTAAGCACTGTAGGCTTGTGATATGGGATACTAGGGTAATGGATAGAATACCATTGCAAACCACACACATTACCATAATAACACTCTGAAACCCAGTGTACAAACTACTCGGCCACAGAGGTCGCTTAAATCCATTCCATTCCAGTTCATTTATGAATATGAACTTGCCCACCCAGGTTATTGGCTGGCAAACTATGTTGCCATACACATTATATCTATGTATGTTTAGCATATTATGGCCTCGATAGATCTTTAGTCATTTGGAGCTCGATGGCGCAAGTAGTTAGCGCGTTCGGTTGCGATCGTTGAAGTTAAGCAACTTTTGCAGGGGTCGGTCATTAGATGGGTTACTAAAATTTACTATCTCGAGCTCCTCCATGCTTCGGAAGGCATGTTAAGCCGTTGGTCCCGGCTGCATCTGCAGTCGTTAGCACCCACCAATCCGCACTAGGCCCGCTTGGTGGGTCATGGCCCAATCTCCCTATTCCATCCATAGGGAAGGCCTGTGCCCCAGCAGTGGGGACATTAATAGGCTGATGATGATGATGAGATCTTTAGTTAAGCAACTTTCACAAAGGCCGGTCTTAGGTTTAGGTGACCAAACATAAACATTATTATCTCTCAACCTTCAGCATCAGCAGCCATTAGAAGGCCCACATATTGGGTTATGGCATGGCTTGTTCATTCTACTCTGTGCATTCTTAAGGCCCTAACAGTAAATAAAATAATATATAATATAAATAAATTTTTACTAGAAGAAAGCAGTTAGCAGATGGAAATTCTATGTAGACCACGCTATCCGGGTGGATGCACTGAGCATTATGCAATCGCGGCCATAATTGTCCATGCTGAAGTTTCTCTAGTATTTCTTAGGCTCCAAGGCAGCACCATCTCTTCGCATTGTATGTAACCCACAATGTCAAATGATAGCAGAGGGTGCTATTTCGAGTCCCGTCTGCTGGAATTGTCTGCTGGACCGGGTGGATTTTTTTCTACTAAAATTTTTCTAAAGGCTTATGTTATGACTAGCGGCTCGCTCTCGCTTCGCTTCATTGTAGAGCTGAAGTGTAGACTACAGTTTTTGTTCTCAGGATTGTATTATACACAATGACATTCATCTATGATTCTTCTTATACCTGCATGCAAAGTCTCAGCCCGATCGGTTTAAAATTGACAAAGTTTCATACAAACTTTCATTCCCTATTTTATCCCCTTGGGGGTAGAATTGATCAAAATCCTTTCTTAGCAGATGCCTACGACATAACATCTACCTGCATGTCAAATTTCAGCCCGATCCGTCCAGTGGTTTGGGCTGTGCGTTGATAGATCACTATGTCAGTCAGTCACATTTGAGTTTTATATAATAGATGTTTACGTGTAACACACAGGCAGCACTATGGGATAACGTGGAGCTCCTCGAGGAGTTGCTAGCGGGTGGCGCGGAGGTTGACGCTCGCGACTCGCGGCATCGTACAGCGCTGCACGCGGCTGCTCTAGCGGAAAGGAGCCGCTGTTTAGTAGCGCTTTGTGCTGCCGGTGCTGATGTCGACGCTAGGGCTGACGACTCCGCCGGCGGAAAGGTGAGGTTGTCTTCTTTTATGAAACACTTGCTTACCCAGGGCCTAATTTACTCAGGGGCGTATATTATTAAGTATACTACCAAGGGCTATAGGGTATATATATAATAATAAATAAATAATAAATATTTCTAAGACTCACACCAATTAGCCTAGCTCCAAAGTAAGCAAGCCTAGGCTTGTGTTATGGGATGCTAGGATAACGGATAGAATACATATACAGTACATTTATAAGTATATTTATACAGAAATGCATATTAAGCATCCATGAGCATTTGTATGGAGTACAAATGCTCGTATTCACCAGGATTCGAACCCGGGACCTCTCGAGTCGGCGACACTATGAAACCCGGCGTGCAAACCACTCGGCCGCGGAGGGCTTATTTACCAAGGAGCGTATTTACCTTAGGGCAAAGAGGGCCATGGCCTGGGTCGGCAGGCTGCGAGGAGTGGCTGCAAGAGCTGAGATGGGCGGCAGAAGCTATAAAAATCAAATCAAATAAGTTTATTGCTTATAACAACAGAAAATTACAGTGGTTATAGAGTACATAGGCATACAAAATTATTATAAACAAATGAATTATTGAAGTGAAACTTCTTTAACGGCGTTGCAAAAAAATTTACCGTCACATTTTTTTCGGTTACGCGTCACGTTTTTTGGTTACGCGCCATCTTTTTTTTAAAAGAGCACTATTTACCTCATCCGAACAATTGCTTCTTCTGTCAACTTTAAAAAAAAAAGTATCAACAGCAAATATTCGTGTTTCACACAAGGTAAGGTAAGGTAAGGTAAGGTGTAGTTGTAAACCTTTAGTGGGTGAGTTTTTGAAAAATCTTAGCGCACGCCTATATATATATTTCTGGAAAGTTGCATGTAGATCATTTTTCGAAAAAAATAAGGCCATAAGAAGTTTCACTTCTTACGTGTGTACACTAGTACACGCACACATTTTTTTTGATTTTGTGGAGCCTTGTAATTGTTACAGCAAATTGATTTTTATTTCTGGTATTAAATGAGTGCTTATCACTATTTATAGGAAACAATGTAATAATTTTTCAAACATTAAATTTTCATAAATGTACTGATGTGCAACAGTCATCAAAGAGTCTCCAGTCTTAAGATTGTAAATTGATCGAACAGCCCGCTTTTGCAGCACACAAATAGTTTGAATGTCGGCAGCTTTCCCCCACAGCAAAATACCATACGACATCACACTATGAAAATAACTAAAATATACTTATTTAGCGGTATAATTGATTGATGTCGATGTGTGTGGCACAGACGGCGCTGCACATAGCATCGGAGCGCGGTCACGTGGAGAACATACTTGCGTTACTCCGCGCCGGCGCAGACGTAGATCTACGCGACGCTGGCGGAGACACGCCTCTAGCGCTCGCCGACAGAAACAGGCGAAGACATGCGGCGCAAGCGTTGCGGGAACACAGGGGTGAGTTGAATATTTATATATATAAAACTCAAAGCTGACTGACTGACATAGTGATCTATCAACGCACAGCCCAAACCACTAGACGGATCGGGCTGAAATTTGGCATACAGGTAGATGTTATGACGTAGGCATCCGCTAAGAAAGGATTTTGATCAATTCTACCCCGAAGCGAAGCGAGGGCGGGCCACTAGTAACGATATAAAATACTAATACCCCTAGATACAACAAAGCGAACAAAATCGTGGCCGAACCTATCCAAAAGGTACATTAGACGATCCATGGAGCTCCGTAATATAATTGCGTAGTTAAAACAATATAAGGCAATCTTTAAACATTGATTAACGATTTTAGTCACATTTAATGCATACTAAATACGGTCTTAATTAAAACGCATGCGTCAGTGTTGTGATAGGTCGAAATTTAACGACTTGTTGCTATAGGTAGAAGAATAACTTGGAAGATTTTATTTCCTTGAGTCTATGCGTAATTCTGAATGCGCTGTTAGCAATATAGCAGTAATTATCCGCGCTTGACTTTGACTAAGAAGTGCTTGAGTAGTGTTTAAGCACTTCTTGATTGGGACATATTTTGAGCGCACGTGGTGTATGTAGGGTTTTTAATATCGTTAACTAGTACGTACTGTTGCGTGGTCACACAGAGAACATACTAGCTTTACTGCCTCTAGCCCTCGCCGGCAGAAACAGGCGGAGACATGCTGCGGAAACACAGGAGTGAGTTGTAGCCTCAGTACGCAATGATACCTGGTCACATAGAGAACATACTCTGTTTACAGCCTCTAGCCCTCGCCGACAGAAACAGGCGGAGACATGCGCCGGGAACACAGGGGGAGTTGTATTCTCAGTACGTAATGATACCTGGTCACATAGAGAACATACTCTGTTTACAGCCTCTAGCCCTCGCCGACAGAAACAGGCGGAGACATGCGCCGGGAACACAGGGGTGAGTTGTATTCTCAGTACGTAATGATACCTGGTCACATAGAGAACATACTCTGTTTACAGCCTCTAGCCCTCGCCGACAGAAACAGGCGGAGACATGCGCCGGGAACACAGGGGGAGTTGTATTCTCAGTACGTAATGATACCTGGTCACATAGAGAACATACTCTGTTTACAGCCTCTAGCCCTCGCCGACAGAAACAGGCGGAGACATGCGCCGGGAACACAGGGGGAGTTGTATTCTCAGTACGTAATGATACCTGGTCACATAGAGAACATACTCTGTTTACAGCCTCTAGCCCTCGCCGACAGAAACAGGCGGAGACATGCGCCGGGAACACAGGGGTGAGTTGTATTCTCAGTACGTAATGATACCTGGTCACATAGAGAACATACTCTGTTTACAGCCTCTAGCCCTCGCCGACAGAAACAGGCGGAGACATGCGCCGGGAACACAGGGATGAGTTGTAGCCTCAGTACGTAATGATACCTGGTCACATAGAGAACATACTCTGTTTACAGCCTCTAGCCCTCGCCGACAGAAACAGGCGGAGACATGCGCCGGGAACACAGGGGTGAGTTGTATTCTCAGTACGTAATGATACCTGGTCACATAGAGAACATACTCTGTTTACAGCCTCTAGCCCTCGCCGACAGAAACAGGCGGAGACATGCGCCGGGAACACAGGGGGAGTTGTATTCTCAGTACGTAATGATACCTGGTCACATAGAGAACATACTCTGTTTACAGCCTCTAGCCCTCGCCGACAGAAACAGGCGGAGACATGCGCCGGGAACACAGGGGGAGTTGTATTCTCAGTACGTAATGATACCTGGTCACATAGAGAACATACTCTGTTTACAGCCTCTAGCCCTCGCCGACAGAAACAGGCGGAGACATGCGCCGGGAACACAGGGGGAGTTGTATTCTCAGTACGTAATGATACCTGGTCACATAGAGAACATACTCTGTTTACAGCCTCTAGCCCTCGCCGACAGAAACAGGCGGAGACATGCGCCGGGAACACAGGGGTGAGTTGTAGCCTCAGTACGTAATGATACCTGGTCACATAGAGAACATACTCTGTTTACAGCCTCTAGCCCTCGCCGACAGAAACAGGCGGAGACATGCGCCGGGAACACAGGGGTGAGTTGTAGCCTCAGTACGTAATGATACCTGGTCACATAGAGAACATACTCTGTTTACAGCCTCTAGCCCTCGCCGACAGAAACAGGCGGAGACATGCGCCGGGAACACAGGGATGAGTTGTAGCCTCAGTACGTAATGATACCTGGTCACATAGAGAACATACTCTGTTTACAGCCTCTAGCCCTCGCCGACAGAAACAGGCGGAGACATGCGCCGGGAACACAGGGGTGAGTTGTATTCTCAGTACGTAATGATACCTGGTCACATAGAGAACATACTCTGTTTACAGCCTCTAGCCCTCGCCGACAGAAACAGGCGGAGACATGCTCCAGGAACACAGGGGTGAGTTGTAGCCTCAGTACGTAATGATACCTGGTCACATAGAGAACATACTCTCTTTACTCCCTCTAGCCCTCGCCGACAGAAACAGGCGGAGACATGCGCCGGGAACATTGGGGTCAGTTGTTGTACACGGAGGGGGTCCGTTCAACAGCTTGGCATGCTGTTACTTCCCCTGGCCATCATGTTGCTCCTATTACGTGTGCGGGTTCGATGTTGGGTGACTCGGCGAATTCGTCACTCGTAAATAAAATTCACTGATTCTATTATACAGTATTTACTTGTGCTTCACAGAATAGGTAGTCAATCTAATGCCGCTTCCTATATACTAAATATAAAATTTATTGTAACTATATATCTATATCCTAAATAATGTAATGGAAGGTGACTTCAGAAGTATCTCTGAAGTCATTTTTCAACCTGACGACTCTGTATATATCAATACAGGGTGAAAAAAGCAGCCCTTGCTGAGTTTCTTGGCGGTTCTTCTCAGTACAAGGTCTCCCGCCGTAGTTTTGCGAACCGATGGCGTAGCTTCTTGACCTTCACAAGTGCTTGTCTAGCACAGCCTAAACTGAATAAATGACTTTTCATTTCATTTCAATACATGGGAGTCACTACTACCAGTTACTTAACTGTAATTATACGAGAATTCTATCAAATATGGCGTCTGCGCCGGTAATGTGTCTCACACATCAACACAATCACTGGCGACCGTGGTTTTAGCGGAAGAAAAAATTAAGTGAATGCCGCTTTGGTGACACCTCTGCGCCCGCGCTAGTGATGCGGTACAATAGTGATGCGAATTTGCATGCACATTGTAGTACGTAGATATAGATATTCTGCTACTAACTAAATACGGGCAAGAAAATGTAATCCCCTTATTAAAAATCTAGGAGTAAGTTTTGACTAGTTACGCCGTGTTTTGTTCATATCACTAAAATGCCATTTGTCATTCAACGAACAGAGATAAAACATGGAGTAACTAAATCCAAGCATAATCTTCGTTTATTATTAAGGAGTAGGGATTTTGGCCATACATGTCCATGTCTCTCTCATCCAGTAAGTTTCATTCTCTAAGTCTATAGGGAAAAAACTGAATACATCTACTTACCAAGTTTAAATAGTATAGTTTTTATAGTTTCGGAAAAAGTGGCTGTGACATGCGGACGGACAAACAGACAGGCAGACACGACAAATCTATAAGGGTTCCGTTTTATGCTATTTGGCTACGGAACCCTAAAAAGGGAATTGAGAAGTGAAAAATGTGGAGAGAAAAGATGACTCACGTTAGACCGTGTCGAGTCTTAACCGAGCTTCGTCCGTGGCTCGGTCACAGAGCCGGTTCCGTGTCTGTATTCGTGGCTGTTTAAACATACATTCGTTTCCTTCGTTTTATGTAATATTAAAAAAAACCTTAAAAAGTGAATTTAGCAGGAAGTCAGTGCAGCATTAAATTTGCAAGGACGACCCTCTATTGAGCCCAAGTTAGATCGAAAATAGTGCGAAACGCATATACATATGTATAGGTATAGAATAACTTCAACTGCTCCGGCGCAGCACGACGGCGTTGCATTCATGAAACGAGATACAAATTCTCTATAATATAAAAATGAATCGCTGAATGTGTTGATAAGCGCAAATCTCGAGAACAGATGAACCGATTTCTTACTTACTGCTGCGGCGCAACGATCCAAAGTGGATCTTGGCCTCCGACACAAAATGACGCCATGCTCTGCGATCCCGGGCTAGGTCCCGCCAGCAGTCGGCACTCAAAGACTGCAAGTCCCTCTGCATCTCATCGCTCCAGCGGTATCTGGGACGTCCAACGGACCGTCGTCCAATCGGTCGCCCCAATTACGCCCTTTTCACGGCTCGATCCTCTCCCATTCTCTCTACATGCCTGAGCCAGCGAAGTCTAGCTGCTTTAATTTCTCCTATGATGTTGGGCTTGAACCGATTTCGATAATTCTTTTTTTAGAATATTCCTTGAAGTACGAGGATGGTTGTTACGCAGAGAAAAAAAAATTGCCTGATAAAGTCCAAAAACAACACTTTTCTATACTCCCATACAAACGATTCGTAATAATACTTAAAAGTCAATTTGAACTTTAATACGATACGATAAATTTCAATTGTTAGTGGAGAAGTTCCGGGAAGGTAAAACAATTGAGTGACGTGATGTCAATAGAAGTTTGGAGAAGCAAAAATATACCTTTTCAGTTTTTTTTTAATTATATGAAGAGTCATTTTAGTCTACACTACAGCTCTACGCCGAAGCGAAGCGAGGGCGGGCCACTAGTATATAAATAAATAAATAATATATGGACGTTACAAGTGTTGATGCAGATTAGGTAATGTAATGACGTCAAAAACTTTAACAAATGAGAACTAATAAATAGACTGTTCTAAGAAAAAAAGTCAAGCCTGACTAGTTTTATGGAGTCGTCAGAGGTAGTGTTGCCAGGTCCGATATGTTTTAAATCGGTACAAGAGGTAAAAAAAAAACGGGATTTAGGGTTGCAGATCGGGACAGTAAACAAAAAACCGCGG